CTGGATTTGTTTCCTATCAAAGGGGAAGAAACTGCTGTTTCTGAGGGTTCAGCAAAAAACAAAAACAAAAACACACAATTGCAAAAACCTTTTGAATATAGGCTCAATTGATTATGGAGTTACTGATGTACTTCAAATGCTATCAGCATTAAGATTCCAAACGTGGCCGGCGCCGCGGCTCAATAGGCTAATCCTCCGCCTAGCGGCTCCGGCACACCGGGTTCTAGTCCCGGTCGGGGCGCCGGATTCTGTCCCGGTTGCCCCTCTTCCAGGCCAGCTCTCTGCTGTGGCCAGGGAGTGCAGTGGAGAATGGCCCAGGTGCTTGGGCCCTGCACCCCATGGGAGACCAGAAGCACCTGGCTCCTGCCTTCGGATCAGTGCAGTGCGCCAGCCGCGGCGGCCATTGGAGGGTGAACCAATGGCAAAGGAAGACCTTTCTCTCTGTCTCTCTCACTGTCCACTCTGCCTGTCAAAAAAAAAAAAAAAAAAAAATTCCAAACGTTTCCAGTAATCTACTGAACTCTTTTACCCACACTTTCAGAAACCACCACAGTTAACAACTAGATAACAAGCTTACATTACTTAAACGGTTTGGGGTGCTGGTTCTGGTCTCAGCTGCTCCTCTTCTGCTCCAGCTCTCTGCTATGGCCTGGGAAAGCAGTAGAAGATGGCCCAAGTCCTTGGGCCCCTGCAACGGTGTGGGAGACCCAGAAGCAGCTTCTGACTCCTGGCTTCAGATCAGCTCAGCTCCAACTGTTGCAGCCATTTGGGGAGGGAACCAGTGGATGGAAGACCTCTCTCACTGTCTGTAACTCTACTTCTCAAATAAATAACATCTTTAAAAAAACATGGGTTTGAGGAAAAGTGAATGTAACTACTTAAAGTTTATCATTCCTCTACTATTCTCACTAAATAGTTCACCATACTCTTAATTCCCTAGTTGGTCCTAGGTGCTTAACTTTGCCTTTTTTTTTTTAGTATTTATTTATTTATTTGAAAGTCAGAGTTACACAAAGAGAGAGAGGCAGAGAGGGAGGGAGGGAGAGAGAGAAAGAAGTCTTCCATCTGCTGGTTCACTCCCCAGTTGGCCACAAAGGCCAGAGCTGGGCCAATCTGAAGCCAGGAGCCAGTAGCTTCTTCCAGGTCTCCTATGTGCGTGCAGGGGCCCAAGGACTTGGGCCATCTTCCACTGCTTTCCCAGACCATAGCAAGAGCTGGATTGCAAGTGGAGCAGCCAGGACTCAAACTGGTGCCCATATGGGATGCCAGCACTGTAGGCGGCAGCTTTACTGTTACACCACAGCACCCGCCCCTGAACTGTTCTTCGAAGTCATCATCATTCAATTCCACAGTTCCACCGTTAACAACTTAAAATTTTTGTCTAAAAATTGCAACTTATCACTACTTTATTGTGGTATACTGTACTTTGATCTTCCAGTACTTAAATTAGACCATCTCTTGTCCTAGAGAGACATCCAAGTGACTCATTTAATGCCTCTCAATGTCAATAGTGTGAAACGAGTGCTACTAGCATAGTGACATTGGGGACAGATGAACATGGACAGATCTGAGGGTCATTTAGGACACTGCAAATAGTGAAAGAAAGAAATGAGAAATTGATGACTGTGTTTCTGGCTAGGGCAAGAAGATGGCAATGGTATCACTACCCATAAAGGCAGAGAAGAAACAAAATAGTATGAGGAATGGAGGAAATCACAAAGTCAGTTTTGGGCATACTGAATCCAAGGTGCCCACAAAAGATGCACTGAGGTATTGGATGCGCAAGTTTAGCACAGCCTATGTCACTGTGTGACTTACCTAAACCTTGTACCTCACTTATGAGGGTATTGCTCTAGATAATCCCTGAAGTGCCTCGAAGCTCTAAAACTTCAGTGAATTCTGAAATTGTATTACTCATCTTATTATTCAAGCAATATGGCGCAAATTCCCATTTTCTTTTTAGAATGCTGGAGTATCAGGCTATCCGTAGGTATTTTACTTTGGAACTTTAACAAAATTCAAGTGTCAGCAGCTCAAGAATGCATAAAACTTCATTTCCTCAAATTTTAGGAGACACTGACTTCCTCCGCCCAAAGAAAGGCACTAATTTAAGCTTGCTAGCCTTTCCTGGAAGGAACACACACACAAAAAATCACCTCTGTAAGGAACAACAAAGTATGTGAACATACTGCTAATATTCCTTCTCCATGGATTCCTCCCCTCACAGATTTGGAGCAGCTGAAGAGACATTATTCCTATAATGGAAAAATGGAGGAAGACATGGAGGGCACAAAAAAAGATTTATGTTTGACAAGTAAAAACTGCAAGATCTGTGTCACAAAACACTTTTAAAAGAAAAAAAAACCCACATATTTAAATTGAAATCTTGCAATTTGGCAACACAGTTGTTAGATGTGATGGAAACCAAAGCAAGCCTTAACATTTTACCATTTAGAGATAATTATCATTTCAATCAGGTATTCTGAAATTCCTTTCCTTCTTAATTGCACACAGCCTCTTGGCTGGTGGAAATTACTTCTAGGTTAGCAGGATCAATTGTTTTATGTTTGAAGGAAAAGGGAACACTAACCATATCACTCTCACACGTTTAAGCAGTAGTCCTGATAATAAACGTACTCTGGTTCCAAGAGTGTTGTGGTGTTGTGGAATAACTGAAGTGAATGGCTCACTGTTTGGTGGGCATGAAGAAAGAGTACAGTATACCAAGGATTCTTTGAGATTATTTTTACTGCTTTAATTGGTAATATAAGAAATATAGGTGCTTTTGTAAAAGAATCCCTTCAGGGACATGTCACCAATTAGGCCAAATGAACAACACCGGAGTGTATTTTTTATGCTTCCCATTGAATCAGCTCACCATTAACATCACTTGAAGTATTTCTACAATTCATTCTCACAATTTTAAGGCTCTCCCCATGTCTTACTGTGGGTAGCATATAATCTAGTGAGATGGATGAATGAGGGCCCTGAAACGCAACACAAGGGAGGGGGAATTAATAAACCATTGCCTAGCTAAATTATTCCAGCTTAAAACAATAGCATTTCATTTTAACAGAACAATATGAATACTCCATGAAGCCCATCTGTAACTCCTATAACAGAAAGGCAAAACTGCATCAGGACTAAAAGCATAGGCTTTGGAATATGGCAGAATTTGCTTCAGATTCTGGTGACCTTTATGCGGTTGTGGGAGTATTTTTGTGTCCTCTTCAAGTCTAATTTGACTTCTTAATAAGATGAGGAAGATAAGGCTACGTCAGACTTATTTGAGGATGAAAAGTGATAACATACAGAATTACATAACAAAAATAAAGACAAATGAAAACATTTCAACTATGATTTTGTTAGATTTTTATTATGAATGTATTCTTTGAACCATCATTTGAAAGATCTCTCTAAAACTGCGAATCTTAAAGCAGCTCATCTTAGAGGAATTGACTTCGGCTTTCCTACTATTAATACTGATTTTTTTCCTTTAAAGAGCACTGTGTGTGTGACATATTGATGGTCCATGGGAACCAAACTTCAATTTTTCTGATGCAAAAAAAATCCACTCGGCCGGCGCCGCGGCTTACTAGGCTAATTATCCACCTGCGGTGCCTGCACCCCGGGTTCTAGTCACGGTTGCTCCTCTTCCAGTCCAGCTCTCTGCTGTGGCCCGGGAAGGCAGTGGAGCATGGCCCAAGTGCTTGGGCCCTGCACCCGCATGGGAGACCAGGAGGAAGCACCTGGCTCCTGGCTTCGGATCAGCGCAGTGCACCGGCCGTAGTGGCCATTTGGGGGGTGAACCAACGGAAGGAAGACCTTTCTCTCTGTCTCTCTCTGTCTAAAGCTCTCTGTCTCTCTGAAAAAAAAAAAAAATCCACTTACTTGTAGGTACTACTCTGATGAGCAAATTCCTGAAATCCTATAAATAAGCACAGGAGACTACATCCTTCATGGTAAAGATAAAGTTAATTCTTGATTTCTGTAACCTAATATTCCAAAAAATACTCTGGTGCTGAGATACAACATGTTTTTTAGTAGAGCACTGTCTTCTAATAACTGTTCAAAATATTACTTTCAAAAATGGCATAGTTTTTGTATTAAGTGAAAATGACTAGAACACATATTTAAAACAATCAGTAGTAGTCCTGGGTTAAACAACTGCCACATACCATGTAAGGTGGTTAAAATCCAAACCTAGCTGCAATATGCTCCCAAACAGAAAGTACATCATGAAACAGACTAGAAAAAAAAAACTGGATATAATCAAGAGTGAATTAGTCATTAAGATAAATTGTTTATAAACTACCAGCTTAACAAATATGTACCTTTAAACAATGGAAAACTTTCATTTTTACAACTTTCTCCTCTAGTCATCATTATCTCATATGATAATTTGATATGCTCTGAAAGAGTAAGAGAAAGTCCTTTTATATTTCATGATAGGTTTAATTAGGTAATTCCAAGGAGGGAAATAAACCATTAAAACAAGTTCTTATGATATCATTTGGTATGTCCAATTACATGAGTATGATGTAACAAAAATGGTTACAAACTTATATATGCATATTTACATTATATACTCAAAACTATCAAGCTAGTCAACTATATCTGAGGAGACACATTATGACGTGAGTTAAAACAATTTTCATTGCTTATTAGAAAGAATGCAGTCAAGCTTTCAATGGAAATAATATACAAGTGAGGCACTTTTGAGGTCAAGAATAGGAAGCAAGTGACACTACACATTGGAAATGTTCACAAAAATCTATGTGTATCTTTAATACAAAGGTTTTTCAACTAGATTATTTTTGAAAAAATTTTAAAACAATTTATGCCACTTAAGAAGCTTTCGGGAACAATGGCTAACATTTATCAGTGTACCAAAGCACATGAAAATTTTATAACCACCTGGCTGCTAGGCAAACAGTACCTTAATACCTTAAAGCCCTTTTTTTGGTTTATATAAATTACCTCTGGTTGTGTTTCTCTTAAAAAAAAAAACTTTTTATATTTGAGTCACCATAAAACACCTTATAGTGCTATTATCATGATGTATAGACTAATTTTTTTAGTGCAACAATAATGTAAGTTTCTAGCGATTTCCCTTATACTTAGAAAAGTGATCACGGAGGTCAAATCAAGAATGAAAATAATATTTAGTGAAGAATCTGTTTTTCACTAACTAAAATTTTCAAGGTTTCATATAGAAAAAATGTTACACTTGCTTAATGCATCTTTGGGTTATAATTAAAAACCCAGTCTTCAACACATATTTTCAAGTGTAGTCACAAAATTTTAAGTAAATTCCAACACAAGAAACACCCTTAAAATTCTGTACTTTGCCTGTCTACAGGAAAAATATCTGTTTCGCATATTCTGGAAACTTCATGAATATTAAGAAACATTGCTGTGCCATTCAGTTAAGCAAGGGAGAGAAAGAAAAAAGAAAAGAAAAAAGCAAGACTTACCTAAGGTATCAGATGGCACTATACACATGAATTGAAAGTGCATTTATATTACTTCAAAAGCTCAATTTAGGCACTGCTGATTAACCAATGAAAGTAGGTAGTTTCAAGTTTCTCTCTTCAAATATAAACCACTGCCCAACCATCATCTCAGAAACACATGCGTACGCGTGCGCGCACACACACACACACACACACACTCTGAAGCTGTCATGAAGAAATGATTACGGATTTTTTGTTTTAATTCTCCCTGACTGGCAACAGGAAGAAAAATAAGAATACCATTTTGGTATGGTTTTTAGAAGTTAAAGGAACTGGTTCTAAAAATGCCACAGCATACCATCAACTTTGATAACCAGTTTCCAGTATCGATAAATATTTTAAAACAGGACAAGTAAGAAAAAAGTGCTTAAAATCTCTCAGTTACCAAGAAGACATGTTGGGGAAAAGACTCATCTTACAGTTGTTTGAAATATTCCCTATTCCTGATTTCCCACCAGGAGGGGACCACCACTTAAGTCTGGTAATGATCCCAAAACCTGTGTGATCCCTATGACCATCCCAAGTCTCCGGTCTGGAAATCACCCAGCAGGGGGTGCTGAAGCTCCACACCGTGAATTTCTTCAAATGATTTCCATTTCAAGTCAGGAGAAAAATCACTGAAGAATTATCAATTTCAAACAAAACAAATTCATCAAAATATTTCAAAATAATTTAGATTATTTCATTTTCAATATTTACTAACACTTAAGCAGTTTTGTTGAGTCATTTACTTATACAATCAGATTAAAAACAAAGAAAGGTTTGAGAAGAAAAGCCAATTGGCAGTGCCAAATCTGTACGGAGAACAAGAAAATGTTCCCAAATGCACCTGTACACAGGTTTTAAGAATTAGAGATTTAAACTACCCATTTGTTTTCACACAGGAATTCTAACTTACAAACGAAAATTTCCACGTAGGGATTCAGATGACATTATTTTATCACACTTCTAGACAGATTTGGAAACTGGGTATGTTAACTATAAAGATCCAAGGTGAAATAAAAACCATTTCATCACTGTAGTTTTTAATGAAGAAACTTGTTTAAAATTGTAAAGGAAAAAATGGGGATGGGATGGCAAAATTTTAGCAGCAAAGTGGTTAAACAAACTGAAAATATTAATGCACAAACATTAAAATATTAAAGCATATATATTGCATATAAAATACAGTACAGAACCAGGAGTTGCACTATACTGATTAGTGCTTAACAGAAGAAATGATTAAATTTGTTCTTCCCAGAAGTATGTACACAGTTCACTTCCACAGCATTTCCTATAGCCAGCAAGTTATTTTCTTCAGTAATTCACACCTTGCTCAAACCTGAATTATAAACTCAGCAACTTACAGTATGAAAATTCATTCAAAAGGAAAATCAGAATTTCCATGTCATCAATAAAAAGTAATTTTGAAAGTTAACAGTCTATTCTAGGAAACCAAGTTTAGCTGAAAACTTCAGGAATGAAGATCATCTGATGTAGCAGCATCCAAATATATAAACAGTACAAATAAGACTTAAAACTGCTGCTACGGTGTCATGTTTTGGATTCGTTTCATCCAATTGATTTTTAGTACAAAACTAGAAATAACCTCTTCTTCATAACATCTATAGTTATCAATATATTTTTCTTCTTTTCAATGTGAAATAATACTTCAAGATGATCTATATACACAATGTTGTCAGTTCAAGCTGTAATATAAATATAAATGCTTTCTTAAAAAAAGTATTTTACAGACAGATAGTGTTATATACATTGTTCAGTTTGATCTGGGGCAAAAGAAGAAAGCTAACACAAGCTTAAGTGTGATATGTAAAAAGAATGGTACGTAAATGACATTAAAAACCCTGCATAGAAAATGAGCTTTTAAATGGTAGTGTGATTTTAATTTGTATCACCTATTAAACTTCAAGCCATTAAAAAAAGGCACACTTCTCAACTTTATCCCTCTAAGGGAATGTTCTTAAAGAACCCTTTACTTGATTAGAGTTTTAATGTAATACTTAAAAAAAAAAAATTTGATCCCAAGTCATTTAAACAGTTTGTTGGAACATGTATCCAACTAACATTGCAAATTAAACATCCAGTAAAACAACGCTCTGCAAAACAAATATAAGGATATGTACAAGATATTCCATTGACAACTGGATTAATACTTTCCTGTGGTAGTTAGCACACATTTTAACATAATTTTGCTTTTGGCCCGTTTAAATAAAAATGCAACTGAGAAAAATGATCATTGTTATGTGAATAGTAAGCACTGAGGATTAAGCTAAACAATAACACAGCTGAACATATTCTGTTTTAGCAGAATAAATGGAGATCTCAAGAGGAAACTGTTTTACACGAAGTATCCAGTTACATTTTTTTTGACTTGTAAAATGTTTGTAAATGCAATATAATTTTTTTGAAGGATGAAACTCTGAAAGAAAACAACTTGCTGGTTGAATACCACAAAAAACAAAACAACTAAAAAACCTCACTTTTTTCTATAATGTTTACTCAGTCTCTTTTTATATAAAAATAAGTGTTACATTCCCATCAGAACATTAGACAATTACATCTGTGCTTTAAAAAAAAGTTGGTCACTCAAGGCTATTAGAATATTTTTAAGGATTTTAGATTACCAGAATGTACAGATATAACTCAATATAAATTGTAGCCAAAGAGAAATGAGGATGAAAATATCAAATCATTCACATGGAATAAAAACATTATTAACTAGATGAGTTAAATATTCAAAATATATGGAATGTGACAGTAGATAAATGTTTATCTACTTCAGAACTAGGAAGGGGAAGAAAAGTTTAATATGTAATAATTCGTACCTTACATTTAGTTAAATATAAACATTTGTTATTTATACATAAAACTGCTTTCAAAAAACAACTAACAAATTATTTAGTTGCACTTGTTTTACTTCTTATAATTCTGAAGTGTTAACTTTTCTTAGATTGAAATCAATAGTCCCCTAGTGCATTTTTACTTTTAGTTCGTATCCTAATAAATTCAAACCTTTAAAAGTCCCATCACCTAATGCATAAATATACAAAAATGCCAGAATTAATCCCTTTTAGTTGGATATTTTTTGCTGACTCTTATAGCCAATAACCAGAAATGACTTCCTTCTGAAAATACCCTACAACCTGTAACAAAACATGCCATGCACTCAAGGGAAAAGTTAGGCATGGCTAGCATTTGTGAAATGCTAAGAACTGATGAGTTCTGCTTCCTCCACATGTGGCCCCAGTGATACCAGGCAAGATTCCATATTGCTTGCCAAAAGCTTCCACAAATCCAAGTTAGTTAATTCCTGGAAACAAAGATTTTAAGCTCATTTTGGCACTGGATCATTTCATCCAGCAGCTTTATGCTTCCCACCACAGCACCCACATGCCTCACCACAGCGATGGCACATTCTCAAAGGGACATAGCAGCACATACATGGTACAATGAAAGACAAAGCTACCAGGGCTAGCCACCGTAAGCAGAACTTGTCATCGCTAGTGTCACATGAACAGGGATCAGAAAAATCTCCCTCTGAGTCTGACATACAATGATACAACATGCTCTCTGCGCAGAGCATGCAACTAACTTGATATATGCATCTTTTAATAGGATCTGGAGCATCCTGACATTTTCCCCTGCTATTTTCTTCATGATTAAACCTTTCCTGGCAGTATACGCAGCGAGAACGTTCACCATCCTCTTTTCTTCGTTTTGACTTCTTAAATTTTAATGAGGAAGGCTGTGTCTTAAATACCACAGAGTCTTTGAGTGAACTTAACTTAGTTTCATCCCCACAAGAGTACAGATAGTCTGATTTTTTACTCTCTGGTTTAGAAAAGTGGATATTGGAGTCAGTATCATCTCTCTCCAAGTCATTTTTCCACATATCAGGATGTCTGTAATCTGCATAGCGACGTATTAAGATATCTCGAGGGTTTATTCTAACAATCTCATCTTCATCTTGAAAGCTGACATGTCTGATTGATTTCAAGGGTACCTAAAAATAAAAGAGATACAAAGTGCTGTAAGGATTATGATGGTTAATATGACGTGTTGATTTGGTAGAGTCACAGTGCTCAGATGTTTTTCAAATACTATTCTGGATGTCTCTGAGATGTGATTTTTGGATGAGATCAACATTTCAACAGATAGATCCTGATGGGGGTAGACCTTATCTAATCAGTTGAAGGTCTTAATAAAACAAAGATTGTTCCCTCCCAGAGGAAGTAGTCCTGCCAATAGGCTGCCTTTGGATTCAGACCACAAATCTTTCCTTAACCCCAGCTTGACAGCCTACACCTGCATATTTTAGATTTGTACGTCCACTATTCTGTGAGCCAATGCCTTAAAATAAATTTCTATATATACATTCTGTTGGTTCTGTTTCTCTGGAGAATCATGACTAATACAGATTTTGGTGCCAAGAAGTCAGGTGACACTATAATAAATATTCAAAAATGTAGGCTTGGAACTGGGTATTGGCTCAAGAATTTCAAAATACAAGTTAAATACAGCATTCAAGGGATCACTGCTTTAAAGGTACTCTGGTGAGGCCTCATATAAAATAAAGAGCATGTTATTCAAGATTTGCAAGAAAGGCAATCCTTGTTATTAAGTGGCAAAGAACCGGTTTTCTGGAAAACAGAACTTTTGAGTCATGATCATGGATAGTTAGCAGAGTAGATTTGTAAGCAAAGTATTGAAGAAATGGCCTAATTTCTCCCTGATGCTTATAGTAAAAAATCAGAGTAGATAGATAAACTGAAGAAAGAATTGCTGGGGCTGGTGCTGTGGTGTGTAGCGGGTTAAAGCCCTGGCGTGCAGCGCCAGAATCTCATATGGGCAACCGTTTGAGTCCTGGCTGCTCCACTTCCAATCTGGCTCCCTGCTAATGCACCTAGAAAAGCAGCAGAGGATGACCCAAGTCCTTGGGCCCCTGTATCCACACAAGAGACCCAGAAGAAGCCCCTGGCTCCTAGCTTTGGATTGGCTCAGCTCCAGCCCTTGCAGCTACTTGGGAAGTGAACCAGCAGGTCAAAGACCTCTCTCTGTCTCTATCTCTACCTCTTTGTAACTCTTTCAAATAAATCTTTAGGAAAAAAAAAAAAAAAACAAAACAAAAAACCAAACCTGTTAAGCAAAAAGCAATCAGAAATTGAAGATTTGAAAAATTCCCATTCTCTCCATATTTTAAGAAATGAGAATGTGTGTTCTAGAGAGAATATCAAAGGTATGGTTAGAGAATCATAGGAGAATATAAAACGCTGCCAACTTGGGAATACAAGGGACATGGGCAGGTTAGAATGAAGAAAAGTTCTCAGACTTTGAGGAGTCTACAGCCTTGTGGCTGCAAACACGCATCCTCTCTCAAGAAAAGGGAAGAATGACTCCGAAGGCAGGGCTGTTTTCTTCTCATTTCCAGAGAGTGGGGTCAACTTCCCAGATTCAGTGAGTTGTATTGGAGAAATTCAGGGCCTTAGTGGTGATGCTGTCATCCAGAACCCATGGGGTGGACCATAGGCCATCCGGAAAATGGAGCATCACATTAGGAGATTATTCTCAAATCTTAAAATGTAATGACATTTTCCCTGTTAGGTTTTGGATTTGCTTGAGATCCATGACACCTTTCTTCATTTCAATTTCTCACTTTTGGAATGGAAATGTGTATCCTAAGCCTTTCCCACTGTTGTATTTGGAAGCAGTAACTCAAGCCTGATTTCATGGGTACAGAGCTGGAGAGGAATTTACCTGAGGATGAATCATACTTTGAATGTCACTCACACTTGATTAAGATACTAGAGATGAAATCTGTATCTCAAAGTTGTTGAAATGGGCCTTTAAAGAGCTAGGTTAAATAAGGCCCTTAATCTAATCTGACTGATGTCCCTACAGGAAGAGGAGATTTTGGCATAAAGAGAGAGACCCAAGGGATGTGTGTGCAGTGGAAAGACCATGTGAGAACACTGTGAGAAGGTGCCTATAGTCAAGGAAAAAGGCCTCAGAAGAAATTAAACCTGAAAGTTTGATATTGAACTTCTAACCCCACCACTGTGACAAAGGAAACTGTTGTTTCAGTCACCCAGTCTTTGCTATTTTGTGACAATAGCTCTAGCAGCCTAATGCATGAACACCTATGTTCATAGCTTGGCAATAGGGAAAAGTCTGAAAAATGAGTTCCTTAAAATACATCATCTGTCTCTATGTCCCTGCTACTCTCCTCCTCAATCACTTGCTCATCCCCTCCCCCTCTAATTCTCTGAGTAGATTGGCTTTTTGAGGACAATGAATAACATTGAATCTTTTGATCCTTCCCATCACCCTTCAATGTAGGCTTCTAGTAGTCAAATATGTATCTTTAGTTCTAGTCCCTGGACATGGTGACTGGTCTACAAGTAAGCATCTGAACCAGGCTGGGGCAAGCTTCTATTCCTTAGACATCTGGAATTGAGGTTAAAAGAAGGTCTGGCCTAAAGGTAGAGTGATGGATACAGTCTGCTGAGTTAACAATACAGAACTCCTACTGATCCTTTCTGGTGATAAATACTGTATAGTAACTCTCCAGACTCAAAATGAGAAGTCTGGATGGAGTTTAAGTAACAAACTTTACAGGCATGTGTGTATATATACACACAGACACACAGACACACACACACACAGCTAATTTATACACTGCAAATATAGAGAATTAGAAGGAACAAAAGATTTTACTTGTATACTAATTTGTTATATTTTCTATCAGAAAATGAACTAACATTACTTACCCTATTTTGGGGCTTTAGGTTTCCACACTCCTTGGGTATTTGTCGCTGCACATATTCCATACTTCTGCTCTGAATGTCTAGGCCTGGCTGACCAAATGTTATCTAAAATACAAATAATTTCTACTTAACTGACCAAAAATATGAATTTCTTACCTTTAACAAAAACATATACAATGTACATTCTAAAACTTCATACTTGATTGGTAAATGGTTTTGAATAAAAATTCAGACATCCCTTTACTGTTTTTTAAATGTCTCTTCTTTTTTAAAGATTTATTTATTTACCTGTTAAAGTCAGAGTCACACAGAGAGAGAAGGACAGGCACAGAGAGAGAGAGAGGTCTTCCATCTGATGGTTCACTGCCCCACTGGCCGCAATGGTCGGAGCTGCACTGATCCTAAGCCAGGAGCCAGGAGCTTCTTCCAGGTCTCCCACGTGGGTACAGGAGCCCAAGGACGTGGGCCCTCTTCTACTGCTTTCCCAGGCCATAGCAGAGAGCTGGGTCAGAAGTGGAGCAGCCGGGACTCGAACTGGCGTCCAAAAGGGATGCCAGCACTGCAAGTGGCAATTTTTCCTGCTATGCCACGGCACCGGCCCCCTAAACGTCTTTTCTTATATAACTCCCAAACAGGAAAAACCCAAATATCCATCTGTTAATGGGATATAAACAAAATGATGAATACTACTCAGGCACAAAAGGAAAGTAGTGATACACATCACAATCGTAGTTCCCAAGGGCTGAAGGACAGAAGGAGTACAGGTCACAACTGCTAATTGCTATTGGGTGATGAAATGTTTGGGAATTCAATAATGTCAATCTTGTGAATATATTAAAACCCAGCAAACTGTATAGTTAGAAGAGTAATTTCATGTTATCTGTACTATATCTCAAAAAAATTTATCATGTGACATTACTGTCCTGTTGTCTCGTGAACTGGAAAGCTCATTTCAGAGCTAGAGTACAGCTAAAATTTATCAATGTTTAATTTTTAGAATTTTAATATGTACTTACTTTCATCTACTGATTAACTATCACAAAACTTTAAAAATTTACAAACATAAATACAAACAGGTTAAGCGGATATTCAGAAATTCTAAATACAAATGGGAACTTTGTATTGTGCTTTGCTTTCTGTACTTCAGGTACATTACGGATATTTTCCTATGCTTATAGGGGGAATAAATAAGAATCCAGGAATTGACGGGGAACAAAATCACTATGGACACAGAGGTTTGGGGAAGCTTCATAGAGGAAATTTATGCTTGAAATAAACACAGAATGAAATAAAAGCTCTATAAAGAGCATTACAGAAAAGTAGAGGATTTTTTTTCCCTCTGATAGAATACAGTGAACTCAAATTATATATTAAATGTATTTAAACATGAAAATGTCTACTTTTTCACTTATTGCCTGGATTTCATTTTCCCAGAAACAAGTTGTATACACATTTTGAAAACTACCCAAGAGTATCTTAAATATTAATATACTTACCTGATCTGCAAAACAAAAATGGACAAGGCTGACTTTTTACACTAATTACATGCAGATGCTAAAAGATATATCCCTATTAACTACTGCTTTTCAATACACTAGGAATCTGGTGCTAACAGTCTTTAGGAGAATATATTAGCTGAAAGTGCCATGGGAGACACTTGAAAACTGGTTACAAGCAAAATTTTAAAAAGCATTCCAGGGGCTGGTGCTGTGGCACAGCAGGTTAACACCCTGGCCTGAAGTGCTGGCATCCCATATAGGCGCTGGTTCGAGATCTGGCTACTCCACATCTGATTCAGTTCTCTGCTATGACCTGGGAAAGCAATAGAAGATGGCCCAAGTCCTGGGCCCCTGTACCCATGTGGGAGACCCAGAAGAAGCTCCTGGCTCCTGGCTTCGGATAGGCGCAGCTTCGGCTGTTGCGGCCAACTGGGTAGTGAACCTTCGGGTGGTTCTCTCCTCTCTCTCTGTAATTCTGACTTTCAAATAAATAAATCTTTAAAAAAAGGCATTTCATTTACAAGGGCAAGCCAAACAAAATGCTACAAAGGAATGAATCTTTATATATAAATAATGTGTAGAGGCCAGTGTTGTAGCACAGCAAGTAAAGCCACCACCTGTGACACTGGCATCCCATATGGGCACTGGTTCGTGTCCCAGCTGCTCTACTTCTAATCCAGCTCCCCGTTAATGGCCTGGAAAAGCAGCAATCACCTTCAGGGTAAACTGGGGGTAGAGTGAGGTCCTTTTTAAACTTGTTTGGTTGTGGTCAGCACCGTGGCACAGTGGGTAAAGCTGCCACCTGCAGTGCTGGCATCCCATATGGGTGCCGGTTCGAGTCCCGGCTGCTCCACTTCCTATCCAGCTCTCTACTGTAATGGCCTAGGATAGCAGTAGAAGAAGGCCCAAATCCTTGGGCCCCTGCACCCATGTCAGAGAACCAGAAGAAGCTCCTGGCTCCTGGCTTCAGATTGGTGCAGCTCCAGCTGTTGCGACCAATTGGGGAGTGAACCAGTGGATAGAAGACTTCTCTCTCTCTCTCTCTGCCTTTCTCTCTCTGTGTAACTCTGACTTTCAAGTAAAATAAATAAATCTTAAAATAAACAAACAAAAAACAAACAAACTTGTCTTTGATCATGAGCTCATTTACACTCTCTTATTTGTCTATAGTAAAATGATATACAGGAACCTGAATGTAAGAGAAATTGAGCAAAAGAGCTATCAATGGTTTCCAGGCCTGTAAGACCCAATTAAAACCTGAGTATATCAGCATTTTGAAATAATGTACCCATCCATCCAGAGGATTTAAACAGCCCATGTAAGCATGGAAAATAAATCAAAGACCGTGATAATGTCTACTTAAGCATTACTGGGGGGAAAAATCCATTAGCACAGAAATCTAGTGAGTATAGTTGCTGTTTCAGATTATTTTATTAAGAATATTAATATAAGTGAAACCCTTTAAAGATATAATAAACCCTCCCCACCCCAAGACAGGCTTGCTTAGTACTCAATATAATAAAGACAGTATTTCCTGCCACAGCAAGTCAGATAGGTTTACTGCCCATTAAAAAAAAAAAAAGACTTGGTTCCTGAAGCTCAGGGTTCCAGTGCTGTGATGCAAACCCACTGTGAACATCTTCTTGAGGAGGATCATCCCCACAGTGCTTTGGGGAACAAGGGGAACTAACACACAAAGATCATGATGCTTACTGTGCTGTGAGAAAATCTTTTGTCTCTGACCTAGCAGTCTTATGTCTTCTGGCAGCATTCACACAACCGGCAGGTTAACTTGTTAGCTTGCAAGTAAGGTAAAATCTTACATACTTTATAGTTCAGCAAGGCAGCTGTCTATCCATTTTGGCAAGGCAGTTCCTCTACTGTAGAAAAGGATCTATCAAGCCATCTTAATTGAATGTAGTTCAAAAGCATATTCAAAGCACATAATTACTCTACTGACTATTAATATTCCTCAAGCTAGCTTTGGTGATGATACAGTACATCATAAGGATATATTTAATGTAGAAAATACACTAAACAAGCTACTATTGACACTATAGTCTTCATGATGATCTAAATGGAGTTTCATATTCTAATTTTTACATATTATTTTCTTGGGCTCAATTTAATTTTTAATCCCTGAAATCTGACTTTAGTTTCAGTATCCCCAAAAAAATAAGGTTTCTAATCTACAAGTTGAGGGCCTGATTCTGTACAGTGGTAAATTTATTCTGTGAGGCTTTTTGGGTCATACACAAATAGTTAAATGGTATAGTCTTTAACAGTTCTGTGTTAAACGCAAATGTGCTTTATTGCTGTTAAGAAATTTCTATATTTACTTACCAATGTCTAGCTAAGCTCCACGATAATGTTTAAAAAGCCACCTCATTCTAATTCCTATTGAACTGAGAAGTTCACCTACTTTTTTCTTTTTCTTTTTTTTTTTTTTTTTTGACAGGCAGAGTGGACAGTGAGAGAGAGAGACAGAGAGAAAGGTCTTCCTTTGCCGTTGGTTCACCCTCCAATGGCTGCCGTGGAAGTTCACCTACTTTAACATTAGTAAATGCATAGACATCCAGTTATGTAAATTCATGTAACTGATATGATTTCAACATGTCCTCCAATGTCCAAGTGCTGCAATCCTAGCCCCCAATTCAACAGTGTTGAGTGTTGTGACCTCTAGAGGAGAACAGGCCCTGAAGGCTTTGCCCCCACGAAGGGATTGTCATTTTCACAGGAGTGGGTTTCTGATAAAAGGATGAGTCTGGTCTCCTTCTTCTTGTTACCTTGTCGTCTTTCACCCTCTCATCTTCTGCCATGGATGACACAGCAAGAAGAACCTCACAAGATACCAGCACCTTGATAATGAACTTCCCAGTCCGCAGAACTAGTTCTTTTCTTTATAACCCAGTCTATGGCATTCTGTTACAGCAATGCAAAATGGACTAATACACTTTTTCATCACATCAATCTTGGAGATAAGGAAAAGTATCTATAATTAGGGACTAGGAATATTACTATTTTATTTCAAGTTAACAAAAATGTTTTTCTTAAGTGCTTTACAAATCACATTTAATCATGTTTACCTTCATAACAATATTAGGAGGTAGATACTGATATCTAGGTTATAGGTAAGGATACCAAAGCACACAAAGGTTGAATAATCTGTCCTGCTTCCAGAAGCCATGTGCCTAATTATAAAACTAGCATCTGTCTGTCAAACATTGTTCACTTGCCCCTCTGCAGTTCTTTTGCACCATTTTGTATTTTTCTACAAGATGTCTATACTATTGAGTCACCCCACCACTACCAACACTGCCATTTTGGGAGAAGAGCTCAGTTCTTTTCTCCCATCAATCAAAAGATTTTTTGATTTTAAGTTTATAGTTCTCTCAGTTGAACAACACATAGGCCAAATAAATTCTCAGGGGTTGGGATAAGGAATATTGGTCTATCATAACTTTGTGTTATATCCCCATAGTTCCTATTTTTTTTAAATAAAAGATTCTTTTTTTATAGTTGAAAGGCAGAGTTACAGAGAGTTGGAGAGAGAGGGAGAGGGAGTGGAGGAGAGAGAGAGAGAGAGAGATAGAGAGAGAGAGAGAG